ATGAGCCTGTCAAAACTCCCCTTCTTTCGCCATTTCTTGTCAGTTTACTAGTTATGCCAACGCCTTTAAACCATCTGACCCCGCACAAATGGACATGCATAACTCCTGTTCTCAAGGTTGAACTCTCTGTTCCTACATCGAGCTGAGGAGCTGGCTTTCAGAAGCGCTCATCTAGCCCTTCTCAGTTTGAGTGCGTAGATTGTCTGTCAAAGTACAAAACTCAAAGCCTCTGAATGGAATCCCGGCCGCGACCATCGATCATTGAAGGGTAATGCGAAGCGGAAGAGCAGAGAAATACGAAGTATACGGATGGTGGATACATACCAGAGAGGCAACTGGTGAAGAAGTGGCTCAATTCTTACGCAAGACTATCCATGGGAATTCTGACTTTGCTACTGATCCGTGAAGTGAATTTGCTCCCTGTCTATCCGGTTGTTGGAAGAAGCACTAATAAAGTCTCGAATAAATCTGTGCAAGTTATCCGGAACGCAATCAAATAACTACCGATCGATTCGAATTTCTCACGTCGAGACTAAGTGCATGGCGCACCTCAAAGTGTTTTTGCGATGCGAAGATTGAAACGATGGGATTTGCCGTGGAAGTGTGCCATGAATTCAGTTTTTGTTACAGTTATGGGTTAGCTACTTTGACCCTACCACTAACCGAATTGGAGTTGGTGAGGCTCACACATTCCAAGGCAGAAATAAATTTGTTCAAAGTGAACAGCAAAAAGTCATGCCTACTTACTGTATTCGTTCTCAAAAGTACATATTCACCTAGTAAATGGTAAATGCTTGAATACTTAAGTTTTGAAGCGAGAAATTGGAGGAGTGCTATGAATAGCGTGAACAAAAATGAGTCACACTGGTTGTTCAAAGGAAACTTTTAAGTGAGAGGTAGTCAACTTGAAACTAGTTTCGCCTGCGTTAGCCATTATGACAAGTATATAGACGAAGTTATAGAGGCAGTTCGATCGCATCTCTGTGCTCATGTTTCTTAAAGTTCCCGAAAAATTGCTGTGGAACGGTAACGGGCCATACCAAGAAGCACCGCTTCTAAAAATGCACTTGTAGATCGGATCCCGTTCGTGGAACCAACCTAGCTGTACATACCCTGTTGTTATCACTTGGTATCGGAGAGCATAACAACTTTTAGTAGAACAGAAAAATCTTCAGAAAGGTCACAATCAGTGGTTTGAATGGCGCAAGGTGCATGGCACATCCGTATATGTCGCTTCTTTCAATCTAATCTCATATAACAGAAAAAGCTTAATCAGCCTAGCAGGTATCTATTCGGAATACGATCCGCGGACCATGCCTGCGATAGGGCGAGACTCGGCACCATACCACGTTCTGCAATTCTTTTATAATATACTTATATGTTTATAAAAAATTAACAGGAGGTGAATTTTTGTGCATTCTCTTTCATGAAAGATATCGAATCATTCTGCGCCTTGTTCATGTTTGTCATATGGATCCGCTCTATTGGGTTGACGCCTCGAACAAGTCGTCGTCTTCACAGAACTCATAGCGGTTTGCAACTTTTGAGCAGTAGCCGATCCTATCAAACGCTTGAACCCACAATGCCACTTGTAAAGATTTTCATACACCCAATTAAAAACGGGCCCTGAAATTTTCGCCCCTTATTGCTCACACCAGTTAGTCAACTGGTGACGTTATAGCCGATGGGACCAGAAAGGAACCATAGACTTGGCTGGGAACTTCTGTATTTAAGTTTCTGGAAATCCTTGTAACTGATCTAGAGCGTTTGCGAAATTGAACTGCAGGACAGGAACCTCTAGGCCACCTTCAAATCCTCTAAAACGACAGATATTTCTGAAGTCGACCTAACGGAGCCGTTCGGCTATAACACACCTGTACTGCGTAGAGCATAAATCAGTATCAAATCACGGCTTCAAGATAAGACCAAAAGTGGGATTTTGTGAGATTTCATAACTTTGCTAAAGAACAAAGGCATGGCGCAACCATTTTTTTTTCTATCTTTTCGGGGTACGCCACGCAGTTGAATTCCGAAGAAAGTTGTGGGAACATAGGAGAGTGAAATAAAAGATAACTAGTTCGGCTAGATAGTAAATATTGGAATAGTCAAGGTGTCGAACACAGTTATAGGCAGTCTTTAGAATGTGATGGTGAACAACTGAGTAAATAGTGTGGTTCATTCGATGATTGAAGGTGAACTCTAGTCATTCTATTGAGTGAAGACGATGCGCCGATGAAGGTCAGGTGGTTTACGGGGCTATCGTGAGAGGCGCGATTTTGAATGAGATGAATAGAAAATGAGAGAATAGCGAACGATTTTAGTTTGCATTTTAAATTCTAACGAGAGATTTCATTCTATTGAGGGATCCTTTTGTTATCCCCTCAAATCGATGGTGCTCCATGACGCCGAAGGGGGTGTTGTGCGTGACAGTGGTAATCCCCACCATCACCCTGTCAGCGTTGACAGGTAGGAAGATGCTACCACCAAAGGTAGCTTCACTTTACTGGAATGAATAAACTGAGATGGACTTTCTATTTAGCATGAACGAAATGGGCCAGAAACGATATTGTGAGGGTAGCCATGCCAAAGGCTTCTGTTTGACTGATAATTCCAGTGCAGGGCCTGATGTGCGATGGTTTGAACAGGCTCTGAGGAGGTTACAAGATCATCCGGTAAGGTAGGCACTGGACTCTAAAAACTATGGGCAGCGATACCGAGGAGCCGCAGAAGAAAAAGTCTGGAGACATCTAAAGAAGACTGAAATCCTCTTCACCGAAGTCAACTTGGCGGCAGAAGATGCTCGAAAGGAGAAAGGGGCAAAAACCCAAGGGAACAGCGGTCCCTGCAATGACAGGGGAGTAACGCCTGAGAGGAGTGTAAGCGGATTCTGTTCGAGGGAAGCCACGAGAATTCACGACAGTACTCTTGACTTGAAGGTACTGACTTCATCAGGGGTATGGGCGAGACCACTGTGACCTCCTATCAAAAGGGAACGGGCACTCTTACACTCTAGGGTCAAATAAGTAGCTACAAATGGGAATAGTAGAAGATTTTTTTGTGGGGAACTACACGTGCTCAGCGCTATCGCTGTCTGTTTAGTTCACGTGTTCTGAAGGGAAAAAAGACATTTGAGTTGGGGGCTGGAACCATGCGAAAATGGCGCAAATGTCAAAGACGTCACGTAGCATTCTCCAGATTTTTGGGGCCTTTACTGAATTTAACCCAGAGTAGTCTTTCCCACGCATTTTCAAAATTAAAGCTTTTCTAAATGCAAATAGTATTCAAATACGTCTACAATCGACGTCTACAGCGTGACGCACGTTTACGAGAAGTGATCATTCCCGCGGAGTTCGTCGTAGTCATGAGTAATAGCCTAATATGTGAAGCAAAGCGTAAGAATATGGTTTCAAGTAATCGTAAAATGAGATTTCTTCATCTTACAGCTAAATGAGGAGTTTTGGTTGTGAGCGATTAAGTGGAACTAATTGTTGAAGGGTTTCCCGTCAGCCAGTCAGCAAGCAAGTGATATAAAAAAGTTTCTTCAAAACTCCTATGATGTCCATATTGCCTACTATAAGCTGCATTATGCCCTTACCCCCTTCGTGGAATATTGTATGGTCCATATAAAAGTAGAGCCTTTTTTTTGAGAGCTATCTGTCTGAAATCGTGGTCACATCAAGTTAGTTTACTGCTTCGATACATTTGTCTTTGAAATCGCTTCTGCTGTTGGGCATTCATCAGCTGACCATGGATGGAAGTAGAACTCATGGCCCATTCCAACTAGTCCTTTGGGAGGGATTGACTGGCAACCTTTGTGGTTTTTGGCATCTCTGAGTTACGTAGTTAGACTATGCTTTCCAATATTCTAATGGCTCAACATCAAGCACGGGAGCGTGGCGTATCCCAAGGGCTCTTCATTTCCTCAGTTCTTTACTGTGGATAAATATGATTCCCAGAAATGGTAAACAATTGGATCATCCAAGGCAAAGACAAGATCCTGTAAGGAAACCAACATTTCCACAATTACTCGTAGGAGTTTTGACTATACTGCAAAGTATTAACTTGGAGATTAATATAATTAGATAAAACTGTTCTTAAAAACTTTTTCGAAGAAAAATTATTCGATAATTTTCACAGTGGAAGCGAGTAATAGTACAAAAATACAATTTGTTTCAATTTAGAGAGAAGCCCGGAACGGCACGATTCATACGGGCGGGCCGATAACAGCAACGATGAATTATGGCAAAACATTCGTTTGAATAGAGAAAATCGATAGCACTATAGTAGTACAATAATTAGTCGAAAAAGTAAGTCACTTATCGATTTATATTTGGTGGGTTGCGATCAGTTTGTTAGTTAGTTTGCCATTTGGTTGGCTGGTGAATGAAAGCTGATCGGCTAGCTGAAAGCCGATGTCTGGTGCAATTCACTTGAATTTGAAGATGATCTTCAAATATTAATGAGCACTGTACCCTTACTGTACCCACTACTTCAAGGTTCTTC